GAGAGAGAGAGAGAGAGAGAGAGAGAGAGAGAGAGAGAGAGTTTGTAAATACGATAGCCTGAAAGAACCATATACCTCCTCTGCAACACTCAGAAGTGAGACCTGGAAGAGGAAAGGGCAAAGGGATGAGAAATTATATAAACTAGAGAAGGGGGGGGTGTAAGGTCGGAGAGCCTGTCTGGGGGGAGTTTGGCTCATGTGAGCAGAACACTGGTTCCCCAGACGCGGGAGATGGAGAAGCAGGATTCCTAGCACAGGCCTGCGCAGGGTATGTGTGTTTAGAAGCTGTCTCCGGAGATACTACAGGTGAATCCAAGCGAGTGATCCCTCTCAGAGAATTTTGGAAGACAGCTAACTAAAAGGCTTGATTTAAGCCTGGAAACGCCTATATTTAGGAAGCGAAGAAGAATCAAGTTGGAACAAAAGCAGCTGCCTGAGAAGTTAAACCACATTGTTTCAAGGAATTTTGAGAGTGGGTCGCAAGAACGGGTTGGTTGGTCACCGTGCAGGCCACCACGCAGACTAAGCTGGGAGGCTAGGAGGCCACTACATCTTTGGTAATCTCGAGGGGGGCCGCTCTGGCCAGGGGAACGTGGGGATCCCAGGACTGGAGGGTCACAGCGGGTCCGGGTAGGTGCTCGGGATACACAGTGCGCAACGGTGCTGGGGTTCTGGGGAGACCCCCAGCTGGGGGACTGGGGTAGCAAGGAGGAAAAGATCTACCTGCAACTCCTCCAAAATCTGGTTGGCCCAAAAGTGCTTTAATTAGGATTTTAGTGGGAGACGGAAAGGGCTGTCTAGTCTGTTAGGCAATATCGCTTTGGCCCAGGAAAGTGGTTCTCAACCTGGGAGTCGGAAGACCCTTTCTCGGGGTTGGGAAAAGATATTTACATTATGATTCATAGCAGTAGCAAAATTACAATTACGAAGCACCAATGAGAATTTTACGGTTCTCAACAACGGCCACCACAACACGAGGAACTGTATTAAATAAAGGGCCGCACCATTAGGAAGGTGGACGACCACTGGCCTAGGGGGTCTGGGGGAGACAGAGGGAGAGAGGGAAAGGGAGGTTTTTCAGGGGAGTAAGCGACATCCACCCTGCCCCGGCCTGCCCCAGGAAGCAGCCCCACGGGGTCCCCGGCCACCGGCAGAGAGCCTCCGCCACTCGCGGTGCACTCACCGCTGGGAGTGTGAGTAGTGGCACCGGCCCAGCAGGTTGAGCTTGCAGAGGTGCAGGCTGTCGCAGGGTCTCTCGCAGTACTTGCGACGGCAGACGCGGGCTCGGGTGGTGGCCACCACCGACCGAGTGACCCCGGTCTGGCCTACGATCTCCAACTGCACGAAGCGATCGGGCCCCGCCGCCTCCAGCAGCTCGCGGAGCTGCGCCTCGGGGAGCGCGATCTCGGCCAGCAGTTCCTCCAGGGTCATGCGGCCCCCGTGGGCGCACAGGATCTTGGTGATGAAACAGCACACCCCGGGGTCGGCCATGGCGCGCTATGGCTGCCGCTGCTCTGAGCGCAGCGCGGGACAGCGCTTCGCCGAGAATCGAAACTTACGGGCGGCCCCGGGCGGGCGGTGCCGTTCGCGGACCCGAGCGGTTTCGCTTTCCAACTCCGGCAGTGGCGTGGCGTGCCGAGGCCGGACCTCACCAGGCGGGTCCTGGGGTCAGATTTAAGGTCAGCAGCGCCGGAGAGAGGATGGGAAGAAGAAAGCGGCGCTGTGCCCGGCAGGTCCGCGGTTCTAGGCTGGACGTGAGATGCCCACGGTTCGGGCTGCTACCGGGAAGGAAGGAAGTAAAGATGTTCGTGGGGCTCGGGTGGAGTTTTGATAAGCCTGAGGCGAGTGACGCATCCTGGGGGGGGTCCACTGGAGGCGTCCTCAAGTTTGCCCCACCCAGCGCCGGAAAGAGCTGACCCTGGTGTGCTCTTCCTCCAAGCCCGGCTCTCTGCCGGTGTCGTCAATGCTCGCAACCACTCAAGTTCGCGGCTGTTAACCAGACTTGCTCTTGCGGAAATAACTTGAACGAACAGGTGGAGCTCGGAAGACACCAGGTCTGGGACTACTACGCGGAGCTCCTCTTAGAGAGCCGTGATTGTGACCCTTCTTTGCCTTCAACGAAGCTATTTGAAGGCCCATTCTTTAACCCTCTCTGGCCTTTCCAACTAAAATCGCCAATTTTGGTGTCTCAAACCAACTGCTAATCAATCCCTGACAGTAGGAAGCCACATCGGGCATGCTCAGAATATCTCCAAATATCCTCTTCTCCCGCTTAGAATGAAGATAATTTTTAAGGTAAACCCTTTAAGACATTGTAGAGGCAGGGAGAAATATTAACTAGGTTTCCTTTGAAGAAAGCAAAGGCAGACGAAATTAAAAGAGCCATCCATATCCCCCAGGGAGCTTCTAGAAGATTCAGCTGCTCCAGGCCATTAGCATAAAAAAACCCTCAACATATCCTTCCAGACTCTTCTATTGAAATACAAAAACCTGTCTGCTATTCCTCCACCTTGTTAAATTGAGACTAATATCTTTTATTTAGGACAATTGTCTTTTCTTTGATTCATCTATATTCTCAGTAATTTGCAGGCCGCTAAACACCAGACCCAAATTGGAAAAGAAAATGGGTTTTCCCATCAGCTCTCCGAAATGAAATGAATGGATAGGGCCACTGATCAAATAGGAAATAAACGTTTTTTAAAAATCCTGCAGACATTGTGCAGGACTACAGGTGTGAGCCATGTAAGCCTGAGATATTTTGAACTCCACAAGAGGGCATGGGTGCCCACACACACACACACACACACACACACACACACACACAACCTCAAAACACTAAAATAATATTAATAGCTTGGTGTGGTGATTGTATACCTGTAATAGAAGCACTTGGAGAGTGAGACCGGAATTATAGGCCAGGAAAATGGTTCATCACGTAAAGGCACCGTTGCTAAAACCTAGGATTCAAATTTGACCCCCTGAACCCATCCCCATCCTGGGAGAGTTTACTCCTGCAAGCCACTCTCTGACCCCCACCTTTCCCTCTCCCCACACCCCCCCAATAAATGCAATTTAAAATAAAAAACAAATCAGTAAGAAATAAGATTCTTCAAATGCTGCAGATGCTTGAATGAGAATCACTCTGGGTGTGGTTATTCAGTCATCCACTCTGACTCCCTGGAGTTCTTTGGTATGAAAAGTAGCCAAGCCTGGGGCCCTTTGGCTACTTGTTGACTCTGGCTTTTTGCTTCTTGAGTCGTCTTTTAATCCACTTGGCCTTATTTTTTGTCTGACAGGTTTCCAGAGACCCGTTCTTACAAATCAAGTAAGATCAGTGTGTTCACTGACTGTCTTCCGTGTGGTCCTTACAATAGTGACTTTAAGGCACAGAAATCAAAGAAACAATCTGCTCTCCCAGGGCATCTCCGCTCTCAGCTTTTAAAACAGGAATTCCATCCCTTTAGGCAGTGAGAACAGAAGTCATGAAGGACCCAGAACTTGTCAAGTCACTCTTCTTGAGAATGGATGAGAAACTGGGCAAAGACAATACTAAAGATGAGTCTTTTCTATCAAATAATATAAAATTGTGCTCAGGACAAGTAATTTAAATATCCTTTATCACCCCCACTGTTAGGATAAAGCCCAAGGGGAACCTCGGCAGATTCCTTGGCAGGTGAAGGTGACCGAGGGGGAAAGAACAAACACGAAGACAGAATTTAACAAGTTTTATTGGAAAGGAAAGGGGGGTCGGAAAGAGGTAAAGAGACATAGAGACAGAGAGAGGACAAAAGAAAAGAGGGAAACAGGAAAAGTCCGTCTACCCCAAGGGAGCAGCGGGAAAGAAATCCGGGAAAGAGAACACAAGTGGGCGGGGGTCTTTCTTTTAACAGGGTCCTTTGCACCTGCGTGCAGACTGCAGACTACGCAATCATGGAACCCTGGGCTGACCAGGGTACTGCCTGTGTGCATTCAGCCAGGTGACAGGAGCAGCCCAATATAAAACCTTTATTTGCACAAAGGCCCTGCTGCATTCGTGGAATTTAAGTGACTGAAATAGAAAACCCCTTCCTCCCAAGACTAGACAACCAAGTAAGACTTGGTTGTGAGGTAGGAGCCAAGTGTGGGGGTTGAAGGGGACAGGATGACTCAGTCACCATCTGAGCTAGAATAAAACCAAAGTAGCCAGGGTGGCGGCACACCCTTTTAATCCCAGCCCTCCGTTGGCAGAAGCAAGCTGATCTCTGAATTGGAGCCCAGAGTTGTCTATAGGACAGCCAGGGCAACATGGAAGAGGAGGGGGGGAGAGAGGAGGGAGGAGGGAGGAAGGAAGAGAGAACCAAATCCACTTCCTGTCTCTGTGTGTTAACTCTTCCAAGGTCACCCTTTTGGTAAAGTTTGTCTTGTACTAACACTTCAGTTGTAGTAGTATTCTCTTTTCTTTGTGACCCCTGAATATATTCCTAACAGGAACATGTGCAGGGACTGTGAAGTAAGGAGTCTTCCTGGCTCAGCCCTTCGCTCTCAGAAATGGCCAAACCCAGGAAGGATTACCTCAATCAGGAGGGCTGGAGAGATGGCTCAGCAGGAGGATATGGTTTGCTTCCCAGCACCCTTAGGGTGGCTCACAACGACGCCATCTTCTGGCCTCCACAGGCAATACAACAAACACATAAAATAAAAATAAATGTTAAAAGCATGATTGAAATCTCCGTCCAGTTCCCACCGAAAGAGTCATAAGAGACCACCCTCTGCTCCCCCAGGGAGACCCTCCGTCTCTCCTGGAGCACCTCACAGTTTCCCTTAATAAAGCTCTTTTACTCATTGTTGTCTGAATTTCCTTATTCTTCCTGAGCATAAGATAACAAACTTAGATGCCTCTGGGTGGCTTTGGTGACCATTGACTTTTCAGACATCCTAGTCCTCCAGCCCCACAACTTAAGCCACCCACAGCCAAGAAAGCTCCAACAACAAAAATCCACATCAAGGCAGTCAGTGGCTCTTCTCCAAGGAGATTAAGGAACAAAGAGTCCTGGCCGGGGAGATAGCTCAGCAGTTAAGAGAGACCAGAGTGTGATTCCCAGCTCTCATGTTACATACAGTCATAAAATCAGACACATAAATACATAAGAAAAATAAGTCTTTTTAAAAGGTTTCTTAGGCCAGGCATTGGTGGCACACGCCTTTAATCCCAGCATTAGGGAGGCAGAGGCAGGCAGATCTCTGTGAGTTCGAGGCCAGCCTGGTCTCCAGAGCGAGTGCCAGGATAGGTTCCAAAGCTACACAGAGAAACCCTGTCTCGAAAAACCAAGAAAGAAAAAGAAAAAAAGGTTTCTTAGCCAAGCAGTGGTGGCACACGCCTTTAATCCCAGCACTTGACCAGCTTGGTCTACAAAGTGAGTTCCAGGACAGCCTCCAGAGCTACACAGTGAAACCCTGCCTCAGAAAACCAATAAATAAGTAAATAAATAGATTTCAGCGCAGTGGTGGCGCTTGCCTTTAACCCCAGAACTCAGGAGGCAGAGGCAGGCAGAGTTCGAGACCAGTCTGGTCTACAAAGTGAGTTCCAGGACAGCCTCCAGAGCTACACAGAGAAACCCTGTCTCGGAAAAAAAGAGAAAGAAAACCTGCCCCCGAAAAACCAATAAATAAGTAAATGAATAGATTTCTTAGCTAAGGAAAAAATCCAGTTGGATGAGTGTGCCTAGAAATACAGAAAACAATTCCCCTCCATTCAAGTTCTGAAAAACAGTGTGAAGGCTGGGCATGACACTCAACATGACTTGTCTAGTATACAGGAGTTCTGAGCTTCTGCACTACAGCAAAGACAGAAAGAAAGGATACAAAATTAAAAGAACACTCTAAATTGTGGAAAGGAATGACAAGGGATTTTTTAAAAATAGGGTCCTGGGCTGGAGAGATGGCTCAGAGGTTAAGAGCACTGACTGCTCTTCCAGAGGTCCTGAGTTCAATTCCCAGCAACCACATGGTGGCTCACAACCATCCAGTATGAGATCTGGTGCCCTCTTCTGGTGTGCAGATATACATGGAAGCAAAATGTTGTATACATAATAAATTAAAAAAAAATCTAAGATTTAAGAAATAGCAGCCAGGCTATTAGTATAGTGATGAGCAGTAGCCCCTCTAGGGCTTGGCACAATGTGGTAGAAAAGTGATCTAGACCCACCAAGCTCAGCAGATTGGGTCAAGGCAGACTGCTTCCTGTACCATGCAACCGGCATGCAGTTAGCATTGCATATTAAAACCCTGTCTCAAGGAGAGGGGCTGGAGAGATAGCTCAGAGGTTAAGAGCACTGACTGCTCTTCCAGAGGTCCTGAGTTTAATTCCCAGCAACCACGTGGTCGCTCACAACCATCCATTATGAGATCTGGTGTGCAGATATACATGGAAGCAGAATGTTGTATATATAATCAATAAATAAAATCTTAAAAATAAAATAAAATAAAATAAAATAGGGTCTTACTATATGTAGCATTGGCTAGCCTGGAACTCCCCATGTAGACCAGGTTGGCCTCAAAGTTGCAGAGATCCGCCTGCCTCCGCCTTCTGAGTGCTGGGATTAAAGGTGTGCGCCACCATGCCAGGCTTCTTTTAGGGCATTTTTGAGATAGTATTATGTACTGTTACAGTTGAGTTTCTTGGTGGGGAGCTAATGACATAGTTAAAGAACAGAAGGGGCCAGATAGATGGAGGTATACACTTCTTTTCCCAGTGGTTGGCGGGAATGAGGCGGTGTACTAGAAATAAAATGCCTTTTCAATGAGAAGTCACTCCTCACTCTTAGGAAGTGAAAGCTCTTTAGTAGTGTTTGTCGGACTGGGTGCAATGCCCAAGGAAAAGAGCTCTTTG